TAGAAGATATGCTCTTAATGCAACCCGCCCACGGGCAGCGACATATTACTCGTAATGCACACAATAATCTTACCCACAAAGTGTTAACGAAATCAGCATTGCATAATAATCTGCCTGTGAATAACAAGAAGCAGCGTGCAACGAATGTGACAGATCTCCCACAAGCATAAAAAAGGAGATTGCAATGAATTCGACATAACGTCTACAATTGATATCAACAAACTTGTGATAAATACGAGCACCTGCGGGCAGCCGTGGGAGGCTCATTATGTGCGCAATAGTTTGCCTACGAGCTAAGCTGGTAGGCTTGTGATAGAGAATAAAAATTTGAAATGTGTACAATGGCTTCCTCCACAAGCAGTGTTGAAGGATATCACACTGAGCACAGTTCACCTACATGCAACAGCTAGTGACTTTTGAATGTCCACTGATGACTTACAAACAAATTTAACAAAACTTGCATTGCACGACAACTTGCCTACAAGAAGCAATGAGCGGCCCATAGCGTAGCACAACGACTCACCAATAAGCAATAGGAAATTCATAGTGAAAATTGTTGATTGCTAGTGGAAAGAAACAATAAATTGCTAATGCAAGGTCATCACGCCGAATAGAACATTTCACTTATAAATGAAAGGTGGAAAATTCATAGCGCACCATGGAACGTCCTTGCAAGCAGAAGTTCACTCTTACAAGCTGAACTAGAGAAAATGACAACTAGCATATGCAGAAGATGAAATGAATTAAATAATACCATCAGATCCGCAACATTCGTACAAGTGAACATAAGGCATTTACAGGCCCTTAAATGGAAACTTGTGTATTCTCCAAATGATAATCACCTGCACAATCGATCATATTTAAATATTTTAAGAACATACCCTCATGGAACACACATTACAATATACAGGGTGCATTATGCAAACATATCATTCAATATGTAAAGTACTACATGCTGTGGTGGCAGGTTACATTGACATACAATGACACTATGCATATATGCATTGGAAAATAAAAAATGTCATACAAGCATATCATCCAACGTGCAAGATGTACTGTGTAGCAGTGACGCAAATGCATTATGCAAACGAACACGCAATACATGAATGCATTATACATACATATTATGTAAACACATCATACGCTATGTTAATGCATTAAGCCACCATGCAGTACAACAATACACTATGCAAACATTTTAAGTAGTGCGCAAACGTACATGTCAACATGCACGCAAATATAAAAAATACACATGCCGGTATGTCAGCATGAAGATGCATACATGAGTGTGTATGTGAACATGCAAATATGTCGTATACACCTCCTTCATTGTATACAAATAGCTACCATACAAATACATCATGCAAAATGCATTCAAAAGCACATACCCGCATGGCCCTCAATGAACATAATGTATGTATATACGTGACATCTGAGGATGTTGCGTATGTCAAAAAATGAACTTAAGTTCAAATCCGATCCTTCTCTTTGAATGGACCGAAGTTGACATGACTTGAACCACTAAACAAATACACGTAGGGCTGCAAGTGAACCAAACGTTCGACGAGCTACTCGTTGTTCGATTCGATTAAAGCTCGTTTGTGATCGTTTAATTAACTAAAAAACAAACTTGAACAATATTTTAAATACTCGATTCTTAAATAAACAAACTTGAACACTAATGTGTTCGGCTCATTTATGTTCACGAACAATATCATTTGAAGTTCGTGAACAAGCTCGATATTAAGCTCGATAAGAAGCTCGATAAAAGCTCAATTTGTGTTTGATTTTGAACTAGTGAATAAGCTCGATAAAAATAATTAATATTTGACTATATAATTAATAAATATAAATAATCATTACCTTTGTTATATAGACAATTGCTTTTATTATAAATGTGTTTGTTCATAAATATGTTCATGAACGTATTTGTTTGATAGTTAAAAAAAATTCATTAAATATGTTCGCGAACAAGCTCGATAAACACTAAACAAATGAACATGAACACTCATTAATTTAAATGAACCAAACATGAACACAAACAATAAAGCTCGAACAAACATGAACCAAACTTGAACAAGCTGATATTAAACTAACACAAACATGAACACTCACATACTCGACTCGGTTCGTTTGCAGCCCTAAATTCACGGTCGTAGCTCTAACTGGAATATTTTGTTGTATATGTTCATATTAGGCCTTCAATGTCTCTTACAACAAAAAAATCAAATATTAAAATGAACATCCCAAGCTTTGATACCTACACAATAAATCTGGAAATTAGGAGCTCAACCCGTTCCTCTGTTTGTAAGCAAACAAAAATGATAAGGTTCGAATAATGAAATGATTATACCCCATAAATCCCCAATGATGGCCGTGTTGACAGAAATCTCAACTGGAGGGAACCCCAAACATTTAAAATGCCTCGTATACTCATAAAATACAAATCTTTTAAAGTGATTGCAAAATCACCTCATGATGGTCGTGTTGCAAACTAAATCAACCGGAAAGGTTAATCTTTAAATTCTACCAAAAACTTCAAAACTTTACATCCACTAATACTCAAGAATTGAAATTAATCATCTAACACTTAAAGAAAAAGACACATCTATCATCCACAACAGTTTGTTGAGGCGGGTAAGTTTGGAAATCACTTCAACTCACAAAGAGCGAATGTTTAGACAAGAATATCAATAGGATTCATTCTAAAATCATCTCTTGTTAGGTAGGAGATGGCACGTGTCCTCTACCCGGTTGTTTCAACGCCAATGGCGATACAAGTAAACGGTTATAATCGGGACTCTCTAACATCAAATTACGGTCATGGTCAAAGCCGGTATGTTCCCCAATGGCTCCAAATTCTTGAGTAATGAATCAATAGGATATAATTGATAGGCCGCAAAACCCATTATTAGCTAAGGTTGGCTCAAATATTTTCACTTACGCAAACATTCACCCCAAGTATACAATGTCCCCTTGTATGAAACAACACATGACTACCGACAAGGATCCTTCGGTCAGGTTGCGTTGACTACCTCCTCTAACTAAGTAAACTATGATCTCAGGACGCGGGAACCATTGGATCTGAACAGGTTTCATACACCCCCCCCCCCTTCCACCATACGCTTTAAATGGGCATTGATATAAATTTGAATTTTAAAATATCAAACTTTGATGCTACTATATGTTGATACTATGTATCAGTTCGACAATTAGCCTTAATCGAAAGTTCTTTCTCATTATCAGGAGAGATAATAACTATAGGGGCTTTCACCTAGAGGAAACATGAACTCATATTATAAAGTACTCACAAAATGAGAGCAAAATCTATGTCTCATCTTAAAACCCAATATGCCTTCTGAAATTTTACCTAGGAACTTAAACTCGTTAAAACTATCCTCAACATGACCAAAGAAAAAGAAAGGGGTTGCGGAGGGGCCGGAGCACAAATTTTCGGAGCCCACAGTGGACAATTAACTCATATAAGTAATTTCATAACAAGAGTTTAGTACAAATAATATGTTCATAAGAACAGAGTATCAATCAAGTTTTGTATGAGTAACGTAAATTTCCTTCTAGAATTAATTGTCAATTCAAAAAAGCATGTAAAAACCAAAACAAAAAAAATAGCATTTCAACTTCAATATTTCACAGATTTTAAGCTAGATCTCTCCACTCTTCAGTAAACAATAATTTCAAGTAATATAAGTGTTTTATTGCACGTCATCTTTATTTTAATCTACTAGGGCTCGCAGTCTCACCTCATCTTTGATCTCCATTCACCACAATAAATTTACAATTGAGTCCTGAAGGGGCCAAGTGAGTTCCCGAACGCAAGTTATCACTACGCTGAGATATTCGAAGAAACTTTTCTTCTTTCTTATAGAAGAAACTATCACCTTTCTTTACTCCCTGAGCTTGGCATCACTTGCTCTATTTTTCCGCAAAATTTCTTATTTCTCTGCTCCTTCAGAATAGAATAGTAACTCAAGAACTATTTGTACTCTCGCCTTGCTCGAGCTACTTCGCTCCTTTCCTTTTCTTGAAGTAGAGCCCTTCTAGTAGTAGTACGACAGAGCGAACGAATCCTGAAAGCAATATGGAGTGTTTTTTGCATCATCAGCATGCTCTCTTCCAGCTCTCCCACTTTTTTTTTTCTTTTTGACTAAGAAAGTCGGGTGTAGCAATCCAATCCCAGTTGATTTCTCTTGACTTTAAATCAACTTTGAACGGCAATTGTCAAACTTGAGCAATAGGTTTCGACTCGATCAGCTTTCTTGATGAAGATTGACTTCAGCAAAAGAGAATGAATTGGCTTGGTGTTCGCACCCTATGTGCTCAATCCAATCAACGCAAATCCATCCTTAAATAATTTAGATAAAAATCTAAATTGTTCAGTAAGCTAATCCTGACCGTTTCAAATTTTTTTGATAAAGCAAAGAGGTGGGACCATCAATGTTTTCTCCCAGAAAAGTTGCCTAAATCTAAAAGATGTCTAACATCTCTCATTCATCTTGAATCGTAAACAGAATCAACTTAAGCAAAGGGGCAAATCTAGAATGAGAAAAAGAGGAAACCTAACGAGCTTAATAGCACTGAAATGAGCCTAGGCCGAGACCGAAGCAAAGCAAAAATATCAGAATCCAAAGCTAGTTGGTTTGATGTGAGCATTTTCAAAGCTAAAAAAAAAAACGTCAGAATCAGCTGTTTTCAGTTCCTTAAAATTGAGTTATACCTATCTACGGTCTTGATTGAGCTTAGGACATTATATGCCTTATTTGTTTATTAAAGGTAAAGTACACTTTATACTTCTAGGGTCGCGTATTAACACCTTTTACAACAGAATACCAGAAGCAGTCGATGGCTTGCTGGATCTCCTTAGCTCAGTATTTTAGCCACAAACCTTCATAGGTTATTAAAGTACTTAAAACAAAATATTTCATAATTTTTAACCAGCTGCAACTGAAGTCAACTGATATGCGACTATAAAAGTTCCTTACTTGATTAAAGGTTGCTGGTTTAAGATAGTTGATGTAGAGATGCGCTCGAAATTGTATTTCTCATCAGCAGCATGCTGCAAGAACATTTTCTTAAACTTAGAACCAACATGTAAACGTTTTCAGTAATTCTAGTGCACTACTCAAAACTCAAAAGTAAAAAAGCCATTTCGCACATAATATCAGAGCACATGTATTCAATATTACAATCCATTCTGCTAGAATACTTCAATAAAAAAGCCAAGAAATCTCACCTGATCCACCATGAACAAGTCTTGATCCAATTTTCCAATAATAAAACCCAGATTGAATTGCCCAATCACCTAAATCCATTCACTTCATTTAGATAAGTACATAAATAAGGATAAGACCAAAAGAAGAAATATAGAAGTAAATGGAAAACTCTACATCCGTTGTAGCTTCAAGCTCCTTAAGAAGTTGTAAAAACTTCCAATTATAGTGATGAAAAGCAAAGTTTCCGACATAAATGTGAGGCTGATCTAGCATACGCAGGCAGACCAGATACCTTATTATTTTGTTTTCTACTTCGTCTCAAGTTTAATAAGAAAAACAAACAAGATTCAGTCCATTGTAGATTGATGCTACTTTCCAGCTTTCTAATTGCTGAATTAAAATTTTTCAAAGATTCAAAGTTTACCTTGTCTTCAGATTTACCCATGATAAACACTTGAAGGAAACAGAATATATTTATTAACAATGAATTGGAATAATATAACTAATCCTTTCTTAACCTTTCATCACTTATATTCGTTTTTTCATATCTAATTTTCAAAATGTTTAGAAATCTTAAGTATTAGACCAATGGATGGAAATATTATAGCAGAAGTATGCTAACTATGAAAACTAATATATTTTCCATTGATTCATGACTAAGTAGAAGCATATTTTTGTAAAAACAGGTTCAAATAAAAAAATTCTAAATAATAAGATAATCCAGCTAGTGTCAGTTCAATTGAACCGACGTTTAACCAATTCTGCTATTAAGCAAGAAAAGCACAGGAGATGGACCAAGATAAAAAGAACAACTGATTAAAGAGAGGGAGGGAGAGAGAGAGATCAAACAAGCACGAGTCAAAGAGTGAGTGGAGATGCATAGCGGTGCACGAAAGCCTATGATTCACCAACACTTCTCCTCAAAGAGGCGTGCAGTGTCCGACACATATCCGACATGACACGCGTCTGACAATCTGATTCATGTCGGACAAGCCGAAAACGTGTCCAATTAAAAAAATATTAAATACAAATTGGACACACGTATCTTAAATATTTTATGAATTTTTTTAAAATATAATTTCTTGTATTTAAATTCTTTATTTATTTAAAATATAAAAACTCAATTTCTTATTTCTATCCACAACACCAAATCAATTACCCACACTTAATACCACATTCATCGAATATTCTCATTTTTATTTCTCTATAGCGGGTTACAACTTTCATTTCACAACAATGCCTGAAGTAATCTCAACATTGACGTCTAACGTTGTTACAACATCAACATTTCAAAACGATCTCCATAACAAAGTCTGATGTTGTCTTTACATTGATGTTCGATGCTAGCAATTTCTACACCCACAACTTGACATCTCATCTTTGTCCAACATTTTCTCAACATCGATGATAAACGACCTCTTAACATTGATGCCCAATATTTAGTGCATAACATCAATGCCCGACTCTCGACAGCATTGTCATCTCCTCTCTCGTTGAATGATAAACGGCATCGACGCCCGACTCTCGACATCCTAATATTAATCATTTTAAGCACAAATTCTAGTTAAATGACTAATTATTTCTAAATTATTTATTAAATTATACTTATTCAATTTTTGTACATTATTTTTAAAATATTGATGTAGACAAGGGATATAGGGAGCCTATATCACTTGAACACAAAAGACACACAAGAAGGAAAACTGACAAAATGAGAAAAACTTAAAACAAACTTTGTTAAATAAACTCAAACGACCCAAAACTTGACAATCACAACAAAAGATGCTAGGAGATTTTAAAGAAATAAAGAAACTTAAAAAGACGCTATCCTCAGACAACCGTCAGAGCGGGTTCCTCACATGCATCGAATTTGTAGGTTAAATAAGTAAAGTGCATAGAACTAGCAAACCGATGGTCCACCACTGCAAGATTGGCCAATTTCTTCAACAGATGCTTCAAATCAACTCTAATACGACACCGTAAAGTTGCTTTACTTTGAGAAGAAGGATACAGATGGAGTGGCACTTGCGGAGAGATGAAAGAGGTTAGAAGCCCAAGAAGAAAGGGTGGAAAGAGCCCGCAGGATTTCCGGAGGGGATGAGAAAAGAAGGTTGGAAAGAGCCCGCAGGATTTCCGAATAAACCCGCAGGTTACTAGCAAATATACTCACAAATATCAACTAACTTCCTTCACTTCATCATCTCTTATTTATAGGCAAAGTAGAGGAATGTCAAAAGCCACCTTAGTTAATGTTCACAACATCCCAAGCTTCTTTTTTCATAAATTTCCAAAAGCCATTTCGAAAACAGCCCAAGCTATTTCAGAAAAACAGCCCACATTAATTCTGTTACGGGAATCACAGGTAACTCACGGCACCAAGGAGCCATATTCTCGGGAAGCAAGCAACCCGCCAGAATCCAAAGCAGCAAAGTTACAGATTTCGGGAAACAGCCAACAGGAATCATTGGTAATCACGGCACCAAGGAGCCAGCAAGCAGACCGAATTCAAAGCAGCAAAGTCACGGGAAAATACATCCCTATTGGAAATCTGAGACCGGATGGGCTCCCAAAGGAAAAAGTATACAGTTATAAATTCAAATGCTTTGAATTCAACCACTTTTTTTTTTTTAAAAGCAAGCCACGGTTTAATGCATTGAATTCAGCCAAATTAAGAGCAGGCCACGGATTCCCAAGAGACAAGAAGAAAAGAGGAAGGGGAAGGGATAAGGCCACTCCAAAAGTAAGCTTCATAATGAGGTACCTTTTTGGATATTAATGAGCTACTAAACTTCAGCTCAAGCAACTTAGAGATCAGGCTCAACACCGAATGCTCCAAAACAGCCAACCCGAGAATCACCAGCAGCCAGGGACCAATCGAGCCAGCAAACCAAAGGTCTACCAAGCCATATAGACTACCTACCATGATCATTGGATGCTTTCCCATCATTGGATAGCTAAAAAAGAAAAGAAAACAAAATACACTATTGTTCAAATAAAATAAAAAGTACATAATTCTTGATTTCATCAAATATAAAAACTATAATATTGTGTCCAACATGTGTCTGTGTCCTATATTTTCAATAATTAATGTGTCCCGTGTCCGTATCGTGTCGTATCCATGTCATTGTGTCCATGTCTATGCATCATAAACGAGAACTAACCAACAATCAATTGACAGTGCGAACAATGAGTAGGCAAGGTTCATTGAACCGGACTAATTCAAATCAGGCACAAGCATAGTTAAAGATTTTGGCTTTTCTTTTCAAATCAAGCGTAAAGATTTACCTAAATTTTTATGTTCCAAATGGATAAGTACTAGTTAAAGTTATTAAATTTCCAAATAATTTGTTAGAGTTTAAAGGAGAGTGAATCAAGAGGATAAGGAAAGTGGAAAGAGGGAGAAGAGCAATCAAGGCAAGTGCAAAGTCAGGGAATATAAATTCTATTTAATATTAGAAATTAGAAAGAAAAGTTTTAAGTTAATAAACAAATCATGATGACCTTTAAATAGAAAAAGGCTCATGGTTTTTGTGAAAAATAGGTTATGTTTTATATAAGAAAAATTATATATATTATAGATAATTTTAATAATTGTGAGCTTCGAAAATTCGCGCCCTAACCTCTTAGCATTTAGGAGAGTTTTAACGAATGCATTAAATTTTCGGAAGGCATATTAGTTTAAAGGAAAGTTATTACCAAGAGATTCTGCACTCATTTTTGCAAGGACTTTAAGATTTGAGTTCAAGTTTCCCATAGACACAAGCTCCTATAATTAATTATCTCTCCCAATGATAGGAGAGCACTTTTAGTTAAGGCTAGTTGTTAGATAGGCACAAAATACCTAGCATACAATAATAGTTGATTTGATGTTTAGGATTAGAATTTACTACCTTGCAATTAAAGCACTCGGTAGGGAATGATGACACGAACTGATCAAGATCTCATGGTTGCATCATCCCGACTTGTAATGGTCCCTTATCTACTTAGTCTAATGTGGAAGTTGATCCAACCTGATTGAAGGATCATTGTCGGCAATTACAAGTTGCTTCGTTGAATGATACCTTATAGACCTAAGGTGGATGTTTATCTAAGGAGACAAATTTAAGTCGACATTAATTAATAGAGGACTTTGTGCTCTATGAAATATACCTTATGATTCATTATTCAAAAGTTTTAGTTATTGAAGAGCATATGAGCTATAATCGTAACCGTAATTTATTGGTGTATATCTATGGCAAAATCACCCTCTTATAACTGTTTACTTGAGCTGCCATTGTGCAGCAAAATAACTAGTTATAGGATATGTGTCACATCCTCACTGGTAGGATATAATTTGAGAATGAATCTTAATGATATTTCTCAATAAGACATTCATTCTTTATCAGCTAAGGTTATTCTTGAATTTATCAGACTCAAACAATTACGTGGAATGGATGAATTTTGCTTCATGTTATTGAAAAAAATTCTCACTTCAAATACTTTGAATTTTGATGAATGTTAAATTTTAAAACTACTTGAATTTGAACCTCGAATGATTAATTTTTTGAAATTTTTTGAATTTGTGGGTTACTTTAGAAAATCATGTAGTCCCCTCTAGTTGATATTTTTTATAAGTATAGTTATCATCGGGGATGACTTAACCCTTATTCATTTTATTTGAACCTTATCACTATGTCCACTTGCTAGCAGAAAATCAAATTCGATTGCTAATTTTATAATTTGTTATATAAATGTTAATAGTCGAAAGTTTGTATTTTGTAATGGATTTCATTTGAAGAGGGCTTAGAAGGCTAATATGAACGTAAAACAAAAATGACTTAGTAGATTTCACGATCATATATTTATCAATTAATTCAAGACTTTCCCACTCCGATCTTTTCAATGAGGATTGGACTTGAAATTTAACCTCCTATTTATTTTAACCGGCATAACATTCTGGGGTTTTTTATATTTGCACATTAAGAACATTTTTTAGAGCACATGCAAGTGTTTCAATTTGAAAAGAAGATTTTACTTAGCTCGCTTTTAACCTCGCACAATATTCTCAGACCTATGTATTTTTATGTTTAGAATATTTGTCGGAGCACATCTAAGGAATTTAAATTTCTTTTTAAACAACATGCAAGCTTTTTAATGTATTTGCATGATGCACTTGTACAGTCATAACAGTCGTATACATGCTTTTAATGTATTGACATGTATTTCAGTGCGCTCATGTGATACACTTGCACATATTGTGACGTATTTGCATAACATACTCACATAATTTCAATGTACTTGCACACTTTTCAGTGCACACAAGCTATTCATTTGCACGCATTTCAATGTATTTATATAATGTGTTCACACGCTTTCGATAAATATTATTTTTGTTAAATGATGACATCCTCTTTGGGGATACTAAATCCTTTTCAAGATGGAGGCACTCCTTTCAAGACAACTTATGGATGTAGTAGAATGCTTTTGAGGCAATGATTAATGTCAATGTTGTTGCACGCTTCTCAAGGCATCACACTTGAATTTGAAATTTGCATTAGTATGCATGCAAAATTTAAAAATATTTAAATTTATTTTTTTCATGCGAGCATTTATTATTGAAATGCATCCAAAACTTTTTTTTTAATTTTAAAAGATGTCTTCTATCCACGTGTGCGTGTATTGTGAATCTGATGGTGTTGCATACGAATTAGATTCCCTTTAACAAAAAACATTGGCACACTCCAGGGAGATGAACTGGATTGAACAAAAACCTTTCAACATTAGCTTTGATAATTATCTTTTCAATTCCAATAATTCTTTAGTGGCCATTCTCTATGGTATTTTCACAATTGATGTGATTTTGGGCAGCAAATCTATTGCAAACTCTATCTCCCTCGCTGGAGGTAAGTTGACTAACTCCTCAAAAAATACATCCACAAACTCTGTTACCATAGGAATAGCACTAATATCACAATTTGTTTCCTTACCCACCTCTATCTAAGACAAGAAAATCAATTTACTGTCCTTCATACATTAATCTACCCTGAAACTAAGTACAGATGAAGTTACTCTCTTTTCACACAAAGTAAAACACTACATCTTTCAGCCAATCAAATCAAACTCTACTCTTCTAGCATTCAATAGTAGCAAAATATTTTACTAACGAATTCATACATAAAATTACCTCAAATTTAGCTAAAGGCAAAATAATTAATTCTGATCTGAATTTCTTACTAGCTATCATGATATCCACTACACATAAAGCGCTAGCAAACATACAATCACTAGTTGGAAATCTAACACTCAACCCAGGAGTAAACATAACAAATTCCAGTTGTAATTTAGTACAAAAAAATTTAAGATATAACCATGTGAAAAACTAGAATAAAAAAGCACTCGAGCTAGAACATCTTAAACAGTAATCATACTTATAACGCCTCCGGCGACTTCTACGTTGCTTAGGATGTTCAAGTAAAAACTCGAGCGTGTTAAAGTAAAAACTCGAGCTGGAATACTTCTGATACTACCACTCGATCCTTCTCCCTTCTTTTCCTTGCTCTTTGCCTCCCTGCACTTCTGAGACAATTCCACATTATATGTTCGGATTCTCCATATAAGTAGCATCGTTCAAAATTCCTCCAACATTTCCTTGTATGAGGCCCACAGATAGTGCAAGCTATTGTTATACACGACCCTCACGATTATTGTTGCTACTACCCCTGCCTCTGATTTTTTTTTTTTTGTTTCTTAAAAGGACCTCCTTAACAATTGAAGGTCCTCTTCCGGCTACCTGTCTCCCATTTTTCTTTTACCATCTCCAAATCTTTCTCTAGTAACCAGGCACTTTCAACCAACTAAAAAAACTCCTTTATGAGCAGAGGATGACATCCTCATTTGTCAGTTGTTCCAACTCAGCACTGTCTTAGGAGTAAAACATATTCTTGTATCATTGAACAACTCAATATCACGAATAATCATTTTCATTTAAATTCAGAAAATAATAACGGGTGCTAATAAACAATAAACTCCAAGAAAGTGAAAATACCTCCATTCTTCCAAAATCTTCTTTCCTGAAAAATCTCTCTAACTCCATAACAGCAGCGGCTAACGAGTCTGATTTTCCCTCTTCATTTTCTGATTGAGAATTTGCAAGCGTTGCAGCAGAGTAACAACTACGCAAAAATATGGGAAATGGATAGGAAAAAAATAAACATAACTATTCTGGCTGAACTCGAAAACATCAATTAATAAGAAAACTAGAAAAAACAATGACCACTCTACCAACCTTCGAATCCTTCCTTCAACTTTCGATTTCCGAAAGAACAATCCTGAAATCCTCTTCTCCCTTCTTTTCCTAAGATCATGGAAGCTAAACTGCAGAAGTGGATAGGTTTTTAGACCGGAACATGCTTTTATCATTTTACTAGTTATATTGTGTGCTTCCAATGATGAACTTAACGTTGAAAGTTCTCCTGATTTAATTTCTAGGTTTTCTCCAGGAAAACCTTCCAGTGTTGCATCTGAAATAGGAAATACTGAACCATGCTCTTTTGAATTGTCCTGAGGAAAAGTAAATCAAAGTAAACACCTTCAGTAAGCAGATTATGCAAATAGCAGGAAAGCAACAAAAACGTATGAAAAATATAATAAGCAATTAAACATAACGATGTTCTTGTATATATTTCTAGTCTAAGCGACTGGATGGATCCAACAAACACCAAAAACAAGGCAATTAGCAAAATATATTGCAAAAGAAGGATGAGAAAATTCAGCACGTGCAATCAACGTTCCATTAAAAAGAAGCCTCGAGCAATATGCTAGACAATTTTAAAAACATATCTCAACTTCTAATTTTCAACCAAAGGAAAATATTAGAAGAAGTAGAAGAAAAAAAATAGAATAGAAAGATTAGTAGCATTGGTATCCCAAGTGTGTCAAAGCCATTTGCAAACGCAATCCAACCCAATGTGGTTAAATGCACAAAGGAAGTGTTACAACAAATGGCTTGACTATTTTAGTTTCATCTTGTACTATAGCTAAATGATACAACATCTTAGAAGAGCCCAAATCTGAAAATTTCTTTACAAAAATCCATGCCAAGAGAAAAGGGCCAGCTGAACTGTACGAATAACCTTCTTCTCAGCTTTTATTGCTTAAACCTTAGACCTCTTAGAAAATACATAGAAGATGGTAATGATATTTCTTGGCTGCCTCTCAATTTCTGTTTATAGCATTCAATAAGCACCAAAAATACCATTTTTTTTAACAGTTTATAGAACATGATTGTAATCTGCCAGTATTTTTCCATTGCTATGAGAAAAACTGGAAAAGTATGGAATTATTTAACTTAATATCATATTTCACATTTCCTAGTTTGAAGGCATGTAACTGTCTCCCAAACTTATTCCATATTCAATCCAAAACATAACGTAATTCCTACCAATCTGCCTTCAATAATATTATATTACGGTTCTACTATCAAAGACCATAGATAAAAATTGTTAGCACCATTATATCAGATATGATATAAGACCTCATTCATATTTAAACCCTACATAATATTCGACTATTTTTTGTGTTTCTATATTGAAAGAAAATGCAAGAAATTGCATATGATATAGGACTAAGGGATTTGATCAAGTGAGCTATAAAAAAGAAAAGAAAAAAAAGTCACGCTATTAAGGATAAATGCAAGTGTGTAGATACACGAGGAAGAAACTACAAATATCAGAGGTACAAGCAATTTCACCAAAGAAACAAAAAAGAATCACAATAAAGTGATATTTGAAATTGTGCAATTGATTGTGAGAAGCTCTTTTTTTTGTGAGGTAAGGCGTAAGTGTCACAACCCGGTCCGGATACTCGAACTAACGAGGCGGGAACTGACAGTCGGACGGTTAATAGAATTACTACAATTATACATAATAGTAATAACGAACGATCCACAAACACTAAAGAGCCACTAACATATTATTCATTTGTTCATTAACACAAACAAAATTATACCTATAATCATTCGAGTTCCTTCTACTATACATAAAATTCTATCTTTCAGCCATTTATACTTATCAAGACTTACCTGAAAATGTTAGTTTAATGGAGTGAGTTTACAAAATAAACTTAGTGGATAATCTCCATTTAATATACAACGGTTAGGCATATAAAATAAAACATACACGTTTATCTGTCTTTCTTACACAATTAACATATGCATCTTCTTTCATATATTATAAATTTGATAATTTATTCTATTTTATTTGTACATTTTCTTTTAATATTTATTTCATTTCTATTTCCATTAGTATAGGGGCACCGTCTAAAATTAGCAATAAATGTACAACCATTTTCATTTCCATCTAACATACACATGTACATTGCTTTCTCAGCCAACACCATACGAGGGTGAACTAATGTAATTGGCATGCATGCACCTTTCCTTCTTTTAATACATTCATTTTTATTTAAATCAACATTTAGTATATTCAATTTTTCTTCACATTTTATAGTAATCTGTAAGGACATTTTATCCATATACATATTCATCAATAATTCAATTAGTCTCAAGTTGGTTACATATTTAACATTTAACAATATCAAGTACTTTAGGCGTGTTACAATATTCTATAATTATCATGTAGCAAATATCTCATGTTTCAATTTCTTTTATTTTTCTCAGATAATTTAATCATACAATAATATTCAATCAACATAATGTCATAATCATGCAATAATTGCATTAAATAAAAAGAATTTGAAATAACATAAAAAAAAAGAATTTGGCATTGCTATAATACAATTGAAATTACCCACTTTATTTTCCTCCATACTTCAATTCCTTTCAAACCTTAGACTATTGCAATAGTCTTCCTTATTACAACCTAAAGCCACACACAATTACAAAAACTGTTACTATCTTTAACTTTTATTATTTTACATAAATGTTTATTTAATGAATCCTTACATTAAATCTCCTTGGAGATCCTTTAATGGCTTCAGCACTTCGCCTTCGCGCACTAGATTAATCAAAGCATCTTCTATTCCAATTCATATTAATTGACATTAACATTCCTAATCAGCTTTGAAGGAATTCTCAAAGCTTAAAGCAATAATAATAAATGTCAAATTTCTAACTTGCATCTTTTTCCTCAATTACCTCAAGGAATCTTTCCTTCTTAATAATTATTTGCTTCTTTTACTATCAAATCAAAGCTTACAATAATTAAACTCTTCCTATGACAATAATATTTTCACTGAGCTTTAGCTCATTAACAATAGTTGTATTACAGGAAAAGGAGAAGCAGCCAATGGAGCTCTAGGCAGGAGGCTGACTATATTTTTGTGTACATATGTATTGAGTGTGCATATAAGTCAAAGTATGAAGCTATACGGTCAAACTTTTGGGTGTGTAATGATATTCGAGAGTTTACTAAGTTTTGTATTTTATTTGATGTGTTTTAAATATGCTTCTAATTATGAAATATTGAGATAGAATCATAAGACTGAAAAAAAATATATATATTATGTTGGGATAGTCTAAATAGGATATTTCCTACTCACTTGATCCTGACATAAGTATATCATAGTGGGTGTTAGTAAGAAATATGTCGTTTAGATTCTCCTTATCTGTTACACTCCAGGTTGATTGAGGGGAATCAAAATGGGGTGTGACATATTCTGACATCAAAATCAAAATATTTAAATGTAAATTCTAATCCCGCAATCAAAAAGTAAGTTTGATTTCTCTATATGTACAGGCATCTACAAACAAATACTTACTTAACAAAAATATATAACATAATATATGTATAGTCATTTGGAAAATTTTCCTTTTAATAGTTACTATTTATGTCAATACATCTAAACTCATTACTAGTGTTTATTAATACAAAAAACAATAGAAAACTTACTTCAAAATGTTTTGATTTTGAAAGTGTGCCAGGCAACTTTATCTAAGCAAGACCTAGTAAAAGCAACCCCGTGTACTCAGGAAGAAAGAGACGTCTCAAAAAGGAACTTACATGTAAAAGGAATAAAACAATTAGAAGATAACTAAATTTTAAGAGCTTAGACATATAAACAAAATATACCTTCTTATGATCTATGTCACAAGGTTTAAGTTGCAAAGAACAAAAACTTTCCACCTTGTTGGAGGCATTATAGGTTTCATGATGATTATCTGATCCATCTGCTACGGGTACTGATATGTCATCCTCTGAATTATGAAAATTTGTTATTGATGCAGAAACATTTTTTTCTCTACCTGTTTTGCCAATTTTTACAGAAGTTCTTTCATCCCGTAACAAAGGCATTTCAGATAGCATGCTGCAACTATTGTCATTTTTCCTCTTATTTACAGGTAAAAACCTTGAAAGAGATGCTTGAACAAGAGTTGAATGGCAAAAGGTATCCTTATTTCCTGAAGTTGACTGGGCTTTCTCATCAATAGTCGTATTTAACTTGGCACAAGTTGATTGCTTTACATGGCGATTACAATGATTCGCAATCGTGTTACTGTCAGCAACACTTTTTAAGAACTTTCTAGGAGGGTTATCATCATCAGCATCAGACACACTTTCCATGTCAATGTACTGATTGCTGATTTGCAGGTTCAGGGGTGAATCAACATCCATAGCCTGGTCCATAGAGCAAGCTGTTTCCATTTGACCATTGGCTTTAGGAGACAATGGTTTTGACATGACATTAGGACCCTGAGTAGCATCTACTTCAACATCATCCTGCAAATATAATTCTGCTTCTTCAGAGGACCTTTTGATCCTACTGACAGAATAACTGCATTGATGGGGTGAGTAGATTTTCTCAATTTCTGCTCTCAAGGAAAGCATGAGCGAGTGCTCATCACTGATGAAAACCTTCCTCTTATCAGGAGTAACGTTGACATCATATGATGTTGCTGGTATGATAAAATTCATAACTGCAATGGGATACAGTTTGGAACTTGAACTTTTATATACTTCATTAAGAAGCTTGCTGACTTTTGGCATATCAACAGGCCTACCATTAACATAAAAGAATTGCCTATCTCCCATATTTCGGCCACTACCAAAACAAGGTTTTGATAGAAAACCCTCAATTGTGCAGCATTCCGATATACGTATACTCAAAGGCTCAAGGCATTGGAAGGTGTTCAAACCTAGGACTGTTATGATGTTTTCTTTGATTGACAAGTTTCCTTGAGTTTTCAACACCACCGATTTTGAATTTTTGCCAGTAATGTTGGTGCAAAGGAAACGAACTCCTTTAGCCATGAGAGCATAAGCCTAAACAGTAAAAGAAATGAAGAGCTGATAGAGACAGCAAAGAAAAGGTCGATAAAATAGAGAGCATTCAGTAAAAACAGCAGGCATAGTTAGAAAGGATGGAATATAACAATAAAAAGATCATGAAAGTAATCTTTGAATGCAGAATTAACCAAAAAATAAATCAAGGGACCGCTAGAAATCAGATCCTCCACTTCTGTGCCACACAGACCATCATAAAAAGAGGAGACAGAAATAAAAAAGGGTGAACAGGGGGGGTAAACGAAATAAAGAGTTCAAGTAATTTTCTCATAAATTTTAAGAAAAGTATAAGAAACACAAAAATATAAATATCTTAAGGGAAACCCTCCCATGGATTGCGCAGAAGGCTATCTTACATTTAACAAAGAAGTCAGCTTTCCATACTCTCTTCTGATGTTACGACTGAATTCTTTATTCCGCACAGGCAAAGTGGAGAATAGTTTCTCAACTTTCACAGTAGTGCCAACTTGGCGGGCAGTTTTTCTTTCTGAAGTCACTGATCCTGAATGGTCAAAGGTCAAATGTGTGCCTACAGCCTCATTCTTAGTTCTTGTTTCAACAGTCAAACTACCCAAGGCACAAAGTGAACTCAGTGCTTCTCCTCTGAAGCCAAAAGTCGTCAAATAGTGTAGATCAGAGAAATCAGTGATTTTAGACGTATGATGCTTTCTGGCAAGCACCTGCAGCAAATTAAGGTAGATATTCACACGAACACGCGATGATGAATTATGCGTGTTAATAAAGGTAAAGAAGCCAATTCTAATGAAGTGTTTAGAAGTTGTAATAGGAGTAATATATAAAACTACTAAGAGAGTGATAAACCTAATACTAATAAATTTGAACGTTTGTAGATACAGAATATGTACAATCAAAAGGAAAAAAATATTGTAAGAAATACAGCAAGTAGATGATTGATTAACATTATATAATCTTTTAAAAAAAAACAATCTATTCCATGTTCAAAGCAGAATCCTCATTGGCTCATCCTAACTATTCTGTTTTGCCTTCAAGAACAAAAACAAATATATGCCAAAGAGATAAACCACATTGCTTCTTACAAAAGCAGAAAGTGAAAGTATGATTACAACAACATCATTAGTATTCTCCAAACTATTTGGTGTCAACTTTATGAATTCTTCTTCTCCATGATTACGAGACAGTAATATACAATAAAGCTGCGAAAAATGAACAGAATAGCACTTTAGATGATATAGATATCCGGACATTAGTATATGAAAAAAATTCTCTGCAAGGATTATGGTAAAGACCATAAGAAGGCCTGAAAAAAAAAAGATGAGCCTGCTATGGGAGCTCAAACTATCACAGGACAGATTTTGAGCACTGATTTTGATAAACTGTTGAAGGAGTCCATTACCTATTTTCTGTAGATTTCTATTTGTCAAATTGTCCGCCTAAGATAAAGGCAGTCATAGATGCTATGACAAAACTTCATAAGAAAATCCTGAAAAAACTATGAAGAAAATATTGTGTATCAATTGAACCATCCGTGTTTTACAACTTAATCAGAATCAAACCATCTCAACTTTTTCTCATTCTATTTAGTTTGCCGCTTTTGCTCCTTGTTCCGTTTGCTACTAAATGTGGTGATGCCTTAACCATCTGTTTGCTAAATGTGTGATGCCATCCACCAAACAAGTAGCATCTTGGAATGACGGTTGTTTGGAGTTCACATTAATCAAGACAACTGTCCTAAAACTATGAAAATGACTTCAATCTAAATTCCTTCTCAAAACAAGCAGAGAAGAAAATTGTACGCGATAGCATATGAACATTTTTCTCATTTTATTTAGTTTAGGGGTGTAAACGAGTCGAGTCGAGTCGAGCTCGAGTCAGGGGGTGTTCGAGCTCGACTCGCGAGTTGAAAACCAAGCTCGAACTCGAGTCGAGCTCAAAAGTCGAGCTCGAGCTCGACTCGCGATAGTGTAACAAGTTCATCGAGCTGCTTGTCAAGCCGCTCGATTTTGAGGCCGATTTTTATTTTCCCGCCTGGTTTGTGATTTCCCGCTTGGGTTTTATTTTCCGCCCGGTTTTAATTTTTCCCGCCCCGGTTTTGAAGGTTTCCATTTTGGAAAGAGCCGCCCGATTTTTTTGTTTTTACTCCTCTAGTATAATAAATGTTGCAGCTTTTTGATACATCATTCATTTTTTTTTTTTTTTGGGAAAGTTTCTCTGTTTTAGTAATAAATATAAGTTGCTGCATTGCTAAGATTTGATATTTGAAAAAAAATTAAGTATGTGGCTATAGAACTCGAACTTAATTTTTTAAACACTTTTAAATATAATAAAAAATATTAATAATTAAAAAAAAAATTCAAACAGTAATTCAAGCCGGCTCGCGAGCCAAGTCTCATCATGCTCGAACTCGAGCTCGACTCGTGAGCTCGATAAGCTCTGCTCGCGAGCCCATAAACGAGTTGAGCTTGAGACGGCTCGGCTCACTTACACACCTAATTTAATTTGATGTTTTTTTTTTTTTTTCCGTTCTTCAATTTGCTAAATGTGTGTGATGCATTGTCCACCAAATAAGTAGCATCACAGAATGACGATTGTTTGGAGATTCAAACAAACCACGAGATGAAAGCAAGTGTCTTAAGACTATCAAAATGACTTCAATCTAAATTCCTTCTCAAAAAAGCAGAGAAAAAATTAGTCCATAGCACTAATAACTTACTAGTGCATGGTATAAAATCTTCTAACACATGATCAGTGCATGCAAACTCTATTTCCACGTGAAATATGCATTCAATCACAACCTACAGAAATTTTTGGATGATCCTAACAGTTAGTCAAACCTCATATTCACAAGAGCAAAAGGTCACTATCGAAGATATAGTTTCAATTGCTTTACACATAGGCGCCCTGCTCCCTCCAACATCCACCAGATAATAGTTATCAAAGCCAAAACACATCGAACATCAACCTTCCAATAATACAGGCAGAAGATCAATATTTTTATTAAGAGATTAGTGAGTCATCCTATTCGATCAACTCTACATGAGCTATGAAAAAGAAATACACACCTCACATATGCTATGAGACACAAAAATTTTGAAGTGCCAATAATCCGACCCAAATATATCATGTTATTATATTCTAAACCACAGGATAAGAAATTTAGCCAAAATGGCATATCATGCACTTTACCAGACGATTCATAACACAATCCGAAGTTAGATGAGAATAATGGTTGGAAGATCAAAAGTTCAATCAACAATCAGGCGGATTTCTCAAGCAAATATACTTTAAATTGCATTTGTAGCCAAGAAGATGAATTTCCATCATTAACTTGTTCTTTACCTTTTCAAAAATAGGCCACTTCTAATTATTATAATAGAACCAAGAAAGCTAATGTGTAAAAGTTGAACAGACAGAAGCACCCTATTTTATCTATTCGAGCCAACAAAATGTATAAAGATCTCCTATAAAAATAAACCTTGTACACAAATTATAAAAATGTCATTTTATAAATGTAAGAAGAAATAATATACATTAATTTTTTATGACCATATTCACCATCACCATGGCAATCATAATCTGAGACAGCATTCAAATCAACTTTAATTAAGTATCAATCATCAAAGATAAGATTCACAATTAAAAATAACATGAACGTTGCTAAATACCTGAAAATTATCAGGTGCAATGCCACAGCCATTATCCACAACCTTGAAATATTCTTCACCATACTCTTTTAGATTGATCTCAATGTTGCTAGCACCAGCATCCAGACTATTTTCAACTAACTCCTTCACAGCAGATGAAAGATCTAAAATGACTTGACCTGAAGAAATTCTGTGCGCCACAGCCTTATTGATGGCCTTAATAATTGGAAAATTAACTTGCCCTTCCATCCTATATTTTTTAGCAGGCATGAATTATATCCAAGATTCAGAGTCAAATATTCATTGAGCCTGAAGCACATTATCATACAGCTATGTTACCAAACTAACATAGCTGATAAGCTGATAAGAACAAATATAAAAATTTATCTTCCAATGCAAACAAAAAATGTGCTGTCCCTTTGAACACTATTAGTGCATCACATTAAAAAAAAAAAGATCAAACGAATTATTTAAAAAGTCCAAAAATATCTGAAAAAGTACAATAATGCCAAGGGAACTAAACCTAATAAAAGACTTTACCTTCTAAATGTAAGTCATTGCTTTAATAAGATGACTTTTATTTTTGTGCTTTGAAGTAAAGCTCTCCCATGAAAAGCTTTCAAGCTATGGGTTTGAAGCTTATTGTATTTGAAGCATATGCCTCTATTCGAAGTGAATGCTTTAGCTTCAAAAGCTTAACTTCATTGTTAAGAAGCATAATCAATCTATCACGTTCCTAATCTAAGTTAAGCGTTCATTTCACAAATGCCATTTTTTCTACTTCATTCCTCAACTTATTTCTCTACATGGATTTTCAATCTATTCAACCATTCAAGATTTTCGGATGACTTGTAATTATAAGAATTAAAGCTTAAATGATCCATTAGTTTAAAATTTTTATAGATATATCTTGTTTCATTCATTTAATACCATTCTCAATTTTATCCTAAACGTAGTAAAATCATACTTTAGTGTGAAACTGTAATCTGCCATACAGGTTAATGTAAGGTCATATTTATCATCTATATCTAATGAACAACTCACTATCCCTTGTTGGAGAATTTTTGTCATCCTCAAACGGATTGCATACCTTATGATCGAGTACGGCATAAAAAAGATGATATATTACCCCGAAGGATAAAAATATCATTTACTTATGAACTCAATAATAAAATTTACAATTTAACAGAGATTCCCCAATTCAATGTTTGGTTGAATGGAAATTATTTTATTCTAGGGTACAAATGCACCATAGAGGCTTGTCCCTATGGTTAATTACATCTCAAGCTTCTGCCACTTGAGAATACTTTTGATTAAACTAGTGATTTTCTTTTTTTTTAAGTCATTTAGCAATTGGCTAAGATTTAATTTTAAAATCCATTAAAATCTTGTTTTAAAGAGTTTTGGTCTTTAGAAATTTCAAGGAATACGGGGGATCAACTTGAAATCAGATTTTTGAAATGAGGGACAAAGAAATGAAGTATAAGCACTTGATTATGAGAAATATCAAAGGTGCTCGAACTATCCTATGTTGGGCTTTATATTTTAAAATCCAATTTTTTATTTAAGTTGATCATTTTGATTAGAATGTTGGGGCATACATTCCAACAATACATATTAGAGGAATTGCCCAGAAGGTGAGGGCTTGTATGGTGATTGGAATCAACCATTTTCTCGGACCCTAGAATTAAGGTGAGAATTACTAAAAGGTAATACCTCGATCCTAAGTCTAACGGAGTGCAAAGGGAATTACAAACTACACCTCACATGAGGCATAGCCAGGCCGACCTCTAGATTTATTGTCTTGCCTGGAAAGAGCTACTAGCTAAACCCACCTAATCGTTTTTAAAACCATGATTTCTGGTCTCAATGCACATAAAAAGTAAGGAGGCTATTTTTTTATTTAGAATGTAATGCTTATAACTTGGCTTTGAGGCCGAGATGCCTGACCATGAAGGATATGCACATGTTGACTCAAAGAAAATATATTTTTGTTATATAGTCCTTAAGTAAGGGTTTTCTATATGCGACACACTGGGCTATACATGACCATTTTAAGTTTTTAGAAAACTTGACTCCTTGAAAGGGATCCATGAAATTTTTATTTCTTATTTGAAAATCATGAAGCCTAAATTGATTTTACATTGTTTACATATTTAACATGTAGAAGTCTTAGTTTTATCCTAAGAGTATACCGCATTCACATGTACAGGTCACCCCCAAGCAAAATAAGGAAGAAACCTAAGAAAAACATGCATTTCTATAATTCTATTGCGCACCCAGTAAACAATCAATACATGCTTGAAAAAGTAAATTAACTAAGACAAATGTAAATAAAGTCCCAATTATTACAATCAAGCTTGACAGCTAAGTTACTTGTCATTATACAACCTAGTTAAATATTTGTTTACATACTTTACTTGTAGGGGTTTTCATGCTTCAGCTTCCAGGTAGATCTTTAGGCTTCACCTTCCAAAGATACATCCTTCTTGATCCACCTCTTCTTTTAATTCAAACCCCACAAGTTTAATACATCTCATGATTCTATCAAATACATGTAAAAATCTAAAAGACTCAAAACTACACAACATTCAGAAAGTAATTCATATAATAAATATGCTTAATATAATAAAATGAAATCAACTTGAATTATCCTAAGCATTTTCCCTTTCCCTCTACTCTTTGTTGTCGTAGGGCTCAATTCTAGTGTTATAGTAGGAATCGAATGAAGCAGACATCCCTTGCCGCCTTGCCACAAATGAAGCTGCTGATGTTGCAATTGCTCTATTGGTTGCACTTTACTGCTTGTTTCCTTGCATTACTATATTGTTGCTTTGTCGTTGTTGATGATGCTTTGTGCTGGCCATTATTTCTTATTGCTTCTTCGCTGTTCTTATTGTTCTAAGTGTGACGTCATTGTCACCAACTCATTTGTTGTTGAGCCAAAAAAAAGTTTTTGAAGTGTTTTTTTTCAACAACTTGAGGAAAAACAGTAAAAAAATCACAGTTCAGTGCAGGAAAGTTTAAATCTAATACGCAAACTTGTTTAAAGCAAGGAGGAAAAAACAACGATCTAATACATTATAACATAGATCTGATTTTATACTTCCATGCTTAGCTTGAATAAGAAGGTTACGCACAATGTATCAACCAAATACAGAAAAGGAAAGAATTTACCTAAAATATACTCTTTCCCGTCGGTTCAACAATATAAGGTATCAACTAACAAAATAAGTAAAGAAGAAATTAGAAAGCCTAGAATGGATTCGCAACAAAAATACTGAAGACCACTCTATTTTGAGATATGAGTAAATTTGAAGAATAGCATGCATCTTTTTGATGCCATTCAAACCATCACCTGCTTTCATAAAGCGGACAAAACTGTTAGAATACTAGCTCAGTATTCTGAATTAAGATGGTACAAAAATAAAAGGCAACGATTAGGAATGAGAAGGATAGATTTCAACTAACGTGATTAAAGCTAATTGGATTTTATCCAAATTATACTTAAATTTAATAAGCCCAAGCCACCCTAGAATTAAACATTGAATAATTAACAAGGCTAACCCATTCACAAATAGCTACAAGAAAATATTGCATGCTTTTTGAAAAGGAAAAATATATGGATGTTAAGCAATCCCAGTAGTGGATCAAAGGGGTCAAGTAAGGGCTTCAAAACTGTTTATGGCTCCAAAACCAAAGAGTGAATGTTCTATAACACTAGAAATAGAACCAATTCCTCTAAGGATGATTATGAAGGGCATCTAGTTGGAGCTAGCTTGTGCAACTAAACGTAATGTTGTTCCAACTAAATAGGGTTAGCAAACAATTGAGATGGATTCCCCAAAGTAGATAATAATAAATGCAACAATGGCTCCAGTTCTACACAATTAGGATTTCCAAAATAATTATTAAATATGGAATATGAGAGGACTACAATTAGAATAAATAAACTAGAAGTTAGAACTTATTTTGTTGATGGAATCCCCTTGCTCATGCGTTGACTTGCCCAGTCCTTTTTTTTTTTCAATTTCCTTGGCTCTCTAAGCACTCCTTGGTTTGTTTTGTTTTGGACACCCCCTCACCATGGTTTGCATGTAAGGGAGAGAAACATCAAATTTTACCTTTCCATCTAGATTTTAAATATACTAAATAGTCGCCTATTTATAGATCATAGGGACCTTGCCCTAAAACCCAAAATCAAGGATTTATTCAAACTAAATATAGGATAAAGATGCAGATAATATTAGGGGATTTTAAAGAAGACATTAAGGAGGGATAAGACATCTTATCCACGCTCTCCCTCCTTGAATGTTAGCAAGCCATCTTTGAGGAGATGAGGTAGCCGACCATTTCAATGTCATGAGATGAGAAATGGGTTCCTAGATGAGAAATGGGTTCCTAGATGAGAAATGGGTTCCTATTAATTGTTTCGCTTCTCCATTGATGATGTAGCCTCCTTTGTTAATGCAAGTCCCTTCTGGGCTTGATGTAGCATTATGTGAGTCCTTAAGCCCCTTACAGTTCACATAATGGAATTGGGGTTAGCCCAAATACAGTAAAACATCCTCTGCTCACCAAATAGCCTAGTTAATTGATATTCCAGGCTGATGTGTGGAGAACATTTTGAATCAATTGGGCAATCATGTCAGGACAAGGAAAAATATCACACGTTTACGATTGATTTCCATGCAAACAGACCTCCTTTGCCGCCTGATAACGCATTCATTTGATTCAATCGATAGTACATTCTTCGTAGACCAATAATCAAATTAGAAGCTGTGAAGCAACTAGCTATATTTAACTTTAATAACCCTGAATAAAAGTAAATGGAGATTAGGACAAGATAAATACCTTCAGGAACCTATATCTCCCCTGAAACTGAAACTACCACTTCTACTATATCCGTGCATACAGCACAGAAGGACGACTCTGCCATCAAATAATTCCAAACCATTCCAAATAAATTGGATAAAAAATAGAAAGAACATGTAATAAAATTGAAATGAGTCGGTAAAGATTAAAATAACGAATTTTACCTGAACAGGAATGAACACCGGAGACCGATGCGAAACGAGGAAAAACAATGCCTAGAAATCACCTTAGAAAAATTTATCGCAGTTTTGAGGGAATCGAATAATTGGATAGGATTTCAGGGGAAGAAGAATAGAAAATCAAGCGACATTCTGAAAACCCTAACTCGCCCCTGCTTTGGCGCCAAATGCCGAGGCCGTGTTTTCGACCTTTTCGCGGACTCGTACGCTACTCGCCTTCTTATTTTCACGGATTAAAGTATTAAACATAGCTTAAGCTTTCCTTCATTGTTTAAATAATATTATTTAATTATTTAAAAATATTGTCTATCGTTTCTTTTTATCTTGAGAAATTTTGACAAACTATCCTTTATAATACAGTAATTTATTTTTTAAAAGAAATAATTTTTAAACTTTATTTCAAACAAAATTTCAAATCATGTATGCATACTCCTTCAATTAAATTCTGTTACAAATAAAATTGTTACAAATAAAATATGGGTTAGGGTCAACCCGAACCCGAAACGGGTCGGATTCGGGTTCAACAAATCAACCCGTTTTAAAAATCGGTTTGGGTTCGTGTTCACCCAACAACACTAAATTGACCCAAAATTTACACGAAAACTCATATTTGACCCAGGAACTCAAAATTGACCCGTTTTTACCCGAAAATCAAAAATTGACCCAATTTTTTACCAGAAAACTAGCAATTTTGGGTCAACCCAGGTCATTCGTGTCGGGTCGGGTTGACTCGGACCCGAATCTGGTCGGGTTCGGGTTGACCTGAATAGTGTCGGGTCAGTTCCGGGTTCGACCAGAACCCGACCCGTTGACCCAAATTGACACCCCTATTGTCAGGCTCCTTCAATTTTGAGAGTTTTTTATATATTTCCTACATAATAAGGTTGTATTAACTATTAACAAACATTTTTGTAATAATAAATTCTATTTGAAATATAAAAATTTTCTCATATCATATTCTCCCAAACTGTAAGATATTAATTGTTCTCAAAAAATTTATATTTCACTAGATTTAATTTTTCTTTTTATTGGACTTTGATATTTAAAAATTATTAAATTAATGATCTAATTATTATAAAAATACATAATTAGAAAATTACCAATAAAATAATTTATAACAACCCATTCATTCAAAATTAATTAATATTCCTTCTAAATAAACTCCTAAGTGTACATTTTTATTTTGACTAACTCACTCAAGGTTAATGATTTTTGAAATTAATGGAATTTACATATTTAGTTAATTTTCAAATCAATATATAAGCCTTCTTTAAATATTATGATTTTAATAATTTCTTTTAGAAGGATATAAGCGAGGTCAGACACCAATTTTTTATAGTCTAGTATTTAGTTTATATATATATATATATATATTTATTTATTTATTTATTTATTTATTTATTTATTTATTTATTTATTTATTTATTTATTTATTTATTTATTTATTTATTTATTTATTTATTTATTTATTTATTTATTTATTTATTTATTTATTTATTTATTTATTTATTTATTTATTTATTTATTTATTTATTTATTTATTTATTTATTTATTTATTTATTTATTTATTTATTTATTTATTTATTTATTTCTATTTTCTATGATTTTAAATTTTCAAGTTTTATTTCCCACAAATTTAGTTAAAATATATTATCTCTCGATTTAATAAACTGACGTTGTGTTATGTGATATATATTATCATTATGAGCAATTTCATATGATCATATTGAAATTTCGATGGGTAGTTTTGTGCGTAGAGTAGTTTAATTGAACTGACAATAATAAATGCACATATGCAAATGCAATAAGACTGTTGTATATATTTCCTTAACTCTAGCATGACATGCATATGACATAATTCATGACGTGATTTGGATATAGTTGTAAGCACATTTGTAGGAAAGGCATACTAATGATCTACATGGTAATCGCACTAATCATATATGTATGGTAATTGCATGTTCTTATAACTGATAAGGTATAAGACATAGAAATTGTATATAATTACAAGAAAGGTGGGCTAGTTGCAAGTTGATTCAGGTTGGTAGGAGCAATATATCATTTACAGGAGGATGAGCTAATGTAATGGGTTTATAGTGTAATTAACCAAATGTATTGACTTACATTATGGAGAATATGTTATTATTTGCATACATGGCATGACCCCATATGATTAGACATAAGATACATGAAAATGCATAAAATTATATGTACATGAACATGATATGAAATGATATTGATATAAGTGCAAATACATGATACATATGATATATTATATTGGTAATATTTAGATACTCATACATACTATAAAAATATGTGATATATGATGCATAACACTACTACATGCTACATGATATATTTACATAACATGAATGACATGACATAATAAGCATATCAATGAATATATTGATAAATATGAACATAATAAGATATATAAATGATATTGCATTGATTAATTGATTCATATGATAGTCTTTCATTAGCCCTATTCATAATGCATTTATTGAATTTCCATACTTATATGATTTGTATGATTACATGCATATTATTATGCTTTTCTTGTATTAGGTGCAGTTGTAAGATCTGGTTACTTACTGAGCTTTAGCTCATTATGTGGGTTTTCATGATTTAAGGGAAAGGTAAGGACCCAGAGGAATGAGATTGATCAAATTTTTATTTTAGGTATTTCCTATATTTTTATGTTCATTTTTGTAGCCATGAATATATTAAGATTGATGATGGGAAAGATGTGTTCATGACTAAAGCAAATAATTTTTGGAAATGAAATGTAAATGTTTTGATGAAATGGATGATTGCTTTCATTGTGTCTTATTTATATATGGATGTTAATTAGTAGCTCTGATCAACAATTAGAAGATCTAAAAAGAGGCAATTCTTCCCAATTAGATCTTGGAGTGTGACATAAAAGCTCCCTTCATATCCTTCTTAGGCTTCACCAAGCTTTAGTGAGCATTGAAGCTTAGGATAGATCCTAAGGTCAGGATTCTAGGAGGATTCTAGGATTTAAATTAATTTGGAAATTAAATTAATTTAGGGTCAAGAGTAGTCCAAGTGACCTCATACAAAAATGAGGTCAACAGATGCTTAAGCTAGCCTAAATAGGTACTTACTTAGGATAAGCTACCATTAGAGGGGGGATTCCAAGGTCAAAGATTGCTAAGGATTAATATGATTGGGGTTACAAAAGGTGCAACAAATAATCATTGACTAGGGAAAGTAATGGCTAAGCTAATATTGGCAATAATTAAAACACATTTAATTCTTTTATAGGATAGACACTTAAGGATTAGATACCAAAAATCAAAGCTTACAAAGTATTAACATGATTGGGGCTATATAGATGGTATAAACACTTAAGGATTGGCAAAATTAGAGGCTAAACTTAGATTAACTATAAGCACATTGGAATATTTCCTAGTTTAACACTTAACTATTAGCTTATTTTGATGAATCAAACATGAAATGTCCTAGTATAAGGTCCCCATGGGGTTATGGAGAAGTTTTATACCACATAAGGAAGAGTAGTTATCAAGCTACCAAATACAGAGACATTCAATTCAAATTGTAAGACTAGGTATACTTGAACATCAAACCTATAAAGGGTGTCAAGAAATTTGATCAAGTAGAGAAACTCAAATCAAGTTACACATGATCATTTTATATTTAGGGGATAGTAGGAACCTCTTGTTTAACAACTTTTCTTACTATATCATTTGTCACAAAGTATTTCAAGTCTCAAAACTTATGATATATATGCCAATCATGAGCTAATCGACCTAATAGATTTAGTTGAATTGATCTAAGTGACTAATTTAGGGTGCTAATCAAAGTATTAAATGTGTTTGGTTGAGTTCTAATGGGTAAAAAACCTAGTACCAGAAGGTACTAAATAAGTAGCTTTAGAGACAATACATGTGGTTCATCAATATCTTAGCAAAATTTGGATTACAAGAGAATCGCTAGTCATTTCATTGAGTAAAATAGATTGTTGACAATTGAGCACCCAAAAATAGTGGGTTAGTTGATAGCTGATAAGTGTAAATAATATAATATTTTATATATTATATTTTTAGTGAAAATATGTTATTTTAATTGTATTGTACATAAAAATCTATAAACGACATAAAATTACAAGTTTCATATAGTGTTGCGGCTTCGAAACAAACAACGCCACATCACCATCAAAGGCATCATTAGAGCGCTAGAATATCAACATTGCAGCACTAACTTCTCTGTCAGACAGCGCCGCGGAAGTCAAATATCAACTTCGTAGGGCAGAGTGTTCCGTTGTCCTGCACCACAACATCAATCAATAACACATCGGCCCCCAAATTTCCCTTCCAATGCTACAGCATCCGAAAATCAACAGCACCGTAGCATGACTATTCACTAAGTAGCCGATCCACATCAACAAGCACCGCGACAGCACCATAAAAATAGCACAACAATTAGTTCATTTATTGGGTTCATCAACGCTGATCTTTCTAGTGCAGCAACGCCAAACACCTGTTATATGTTTTACTATAAATAGTCATGTATTATATTTGTAAGGGAGTTCAGACACTTATATAATTTAATTTCAATTCATAGTGCTTTTCTGAAACTCCCTTAGGGTAACAACTAAGAGAATTTAGAGAAGTGCTTGATAAATCATTAGAGTGTTTGGCTTGTGTTTGTGGAAGCAAATATGTAAGTAAAGAGGAGTGTAAAGGAGATCCATTGAACCATTCTAGTGATATTTATCTCTTGTTCTTTTTTTTTTTATCATGATATCAATGAAAATAAGTTTGCTTCAATTATACTCTGTCTGGCTAAATTTTCTTATTTTTTTATTGATGATGTAAGTTTCGTATATAGTATTAATGAATTCTCTTATTCCTTAAAAGATTCAAAAGATATTTTAAATATTATTAGATCTTTATTTAATTCATATAGTGGACATATAAGTAGTTAAAATTAGGTGTAGTGTGGGGCCTTGACAGAGGGAATAAGCATAATCATTATTATTGAATTAGTATGCTTCATGACTAGGCATAAGGTTTGAAATGTACTAAATTTTTAAGGAGTTGATATAACCATAGGAAGTCAATAGCCATCATTTGTTCCTACAAGCTCGTCAGATATCTAGAAATACATATGCTCTGAATAACATCACAATTAAAAGTGATTTATTCATTAAGGAAAATATTTTACTTATA